TGCTCCTTTGGACCTTCATTTTCGGTGAGGCCTCGTCCTTCCGTTTGCTTCTTGTCCCGCGTCTTCCTCACCAACGTCAACCGATCCCGGATGGATTTGGCGACGGCTTTGGAATCGCTCTCGTGGAAGAAACCGGATTTTACCTGGTTGGAGAAGAAAACGGAGTGTCCGGCGAGGTGGGGGGAGGAGGTCGTGGTCAACTTGGAGAACCCTGGGCTTTGGAAGAGGCTCAAGGTGAGGTTGAAGGACCCAACCGTAGGGGTTCAAGGGTGAATTTTGGGGCGTCGTTGGGTTTGGCAAGGAGGAGGTCGTGGTCAACTTGGAGAACCCTGGGCTTTGGAAGAGGCTCAAGGTGAGGTTGAAGGACCCAACCGCAGGGTTCAAGGGTGAATTTTGGGGCGTCGTTGGGTTTGGAAAGGGGTTCAAGAAGAGTTTGAAGACCAACTGTGGGGTTCAAGGATGAATTTGGAAGATCCTTGACTTTGGAAGAGGATCAAGATGAGTTTGAAGGACCCAACCGTAGGGTTTAGGGGTGAATTTTGGCGTGTCGTTGGCTTTGGAAAGGGGTTCAAGAAGAGTTTGAAGACCAACCGTAGGGTTCAAGGGTGAATTTTGGGGTGTCGTTGACTTTGGGAGGGTTCAAGAAGACTTTGGAGGACCCAACCGTAGGGTTCAAAGCTGAATTTGGAGGATCCTTGACTTTGGAAGAGGTTCAAGATGAGTTTGAAGGACCCAACCGTAGGGTTTAGGGGTGAATTTTAGGGTGTCCTTGACTTTGGGAAGGGTTCAAGAAGAGTTTGAAGGACCCAACCGTAGGGTTCAAGGGCAAATTTGGAGGATCCTTGACTTTGGAAGAGATCCAAGAGGAATTTGAAGGACCCAACCGTAGGGTTCACCGCCATTTTGGAGGTTCGTTGACTTCGGGTAGGGATCAAGACAAGTTAGAAGGGCCGACCTCGGAGGAATTTTGGGGTGTCCTCCCGCCAACCCTCACACCACCCCCCCCCCC